TTTTTTTTTTTTTTTTTTTTTTTTGGTACTGGGGATCGAACTTGGGTCCTTGTGCTTGCAAGGCAGGCGGAACCACTGAACCAAATCCCCGGCCCGGCCCATATGGTCTTAAAGTCAAAGTCAAAATCAAGCAGGGAACTAAGTCATCTTCCCTCTGTTCTGGTTATAAGACAGCATTGGCTTGACAAATGTTTGCTGAAGAAGGGACTTGTGTTCTCCTCTAGCACAGGGCACGGGAGACACTGGGGAGCATAACAGTGCCGGAGGTGGACAGGCTCTGCCTGACTCCCGGGACACCGGTGACGGGCCTGCTGGTTGCTCAGTGGAGTCTGCAGGGTGGAGAGTGTCCGAGAGCCTGACAGTGAAGGAAAAGTAGGGCTGAAGATTCCCTTTCTTTACTATGTCCTAGTATTGTTGCCTATCTAGGCTTTGTTTTCGTAGACATTCTCCTCCTGTATAGTAGATATTTCTTGGTGTATCTGAGTGTCCTACATGCATTCTCAGGCTTTTCACCTAATCCGAGGCAGCACAGTAGCAGAAGCCATGCTTGAGAATGTCCCACTGAGGCCCAGGGATGGAGCTGAGAGGCTGGGTCACTTTTTCCCCAGCAACCTAGAACTAAAGCAGAGCTGAGTCGCCCCTTCCCTGCGGTTGGAATTGCAGGTGTGGCCTGGGAGCTGTGGGTGGGCCTCTTTCCACACGGTGTGGGAGAGGGCGGAGAATGTGTCCGATGGACAGAGAAATGCAGCGGACGCACAGATGGAGGCAGAGTTGGAGAGAGCATTCGGTGATGCTGTTGTCTCTGCACAGGTTTGTAAGCTTTTCTGAGCACTCGGCGCGCATCTCAACTCCCTGTACCGCGCCTGCGTCTTGACACTCTGGCTCCTCTCCTGCTCCTGCCTTCTTGGTAGATGGGCATTGCATACATCTCCTGGGTTGCACAGCAAAACGAAAACGCCAGTTAGACATGGGCCAAGAGATCTAGAACTATTAGTCAGGTGAGAAGAAATACCCTCGTGAAGGGAAACAAAACAACAAGCCGTTGTCGTGACTGTTGGCAGCGGTCATTCCAAAACCTCTCTCAGCTGAGAAGAGAAAAGCAGCCACTCCAGCAGCCAGCTGTGCGGAACTGAAATAGCAGGGACCCACTGCATAGTCACACAGTCTCTAAAAGTGAATTCCTTCCTGCAGCTTTCCGCCTACAGCTGAACCACGAAATGCTCTCCCAGGCGAAAATCCCTTTCCAGGCCCCGTCTCCCGCCCTCCTAAAGATGTCTGCATAAGGCAACTCCAAGCTGAGGGCATCAGCAGAGACATGCAGAGAAGTGCTCAGATGGCCAATTAAGCCACCGTCCCTTACAAGCATGGGGCACGTCTGGTGGTTTGACAGCCCTGCCCAGCATCGGCACAGTTGGAATTTCCCAGCCTGGCTCATTAAGGAGAAACAGGCATGATCACTGTGTCAAAACACATTAATGTATTTATTCTGCCATTGCAGGGGCTTATTGGCATTTGATGAAACTGAAGAGTTATGAAATCTACATTTCCTGCTTGTCTTTGTTTCAAATAGATATGCAGCATAAATGTGCACAAGGAACCTCATTCACACTTCTGGACAACTCTTCCCCAGCCCACGAATGAATTGGCACTGGCATCAAAAAATCCACCCCTGCTCCTTTTTTTCTTGGCTATTTGCTGAGCAAATAAGCTATTCAGAGAGAGGAACAATAGAAAGCATGTCCCTCTCTACTCTCAAAAAAAGTGATGACCTTCGTCTTACTTTAATTGCAAGTTCATTAGCCACATTATTTGACATCCTTTTAAAAATCTGTACAGAAGCACAAATATCACATTAATGACATCTGCAGATGATACTACATTGGGTAGTGCCACTTCCATCATTAGACAATGGTGCATCGGATGCCAGATTCAGCAATAGCATCGGTGAGGGGGACAGATGAAATACAGAAAGCTATGTTCATGGGGAAGAGAAAAGGAGCTGTGAAAAATTAAAATGGATCTAAACCCAGATGGAGAGTGTGAGTGGACTTGAGAACACATCAGACCAATGCGGACAGCGCAGCCCAGATCCTGTGCTGTGCACGAGGAATGAGGGAGCAGCTATTTTGAGCTCCACAAGCAGAGGCATTGTACCTCAGAACAGATAGCCTTTTCTTCCGGACTTTAGTAAGGTCACACCTGGCATAGGGTGTGCAGTTCTGGAACAGCACCAAAAGGATGAAGAGAAAAACTTACATGTAAAAATTTAGGATTTTTTTCAAGAAAGAGACACAGCCACTTTAACTTGTTAGCCACTCCTAACAATGCCTTAGCTGCTTTTGTTGATCTGGTTCATACTTGAGTATATATGAATGGCATTCAGATGTCTAGTGTGCTACTCCCAAAATAAGCATTTTCAAGCCTAAACTCTGGTCTGCTCCCTGACACACCCAGCAAATCCTGCTTTTCCTCAGCCTCTCTGGTCTCAGCTCCTGGAATTCCATTCCCCCCATTACTCAGATTTTAGATTCTTGCTCTTAAACCACACATCGACGTACAATCAATTCCTGCTGGATCTGGCCTCAGAGTAGACGGAGTGTCTGACCACGCGTCACCACCTCCTTGGCCACCACACTGGCCCGACCGCATCCTTTGTTCTCCACGGTCTCTGGTGGCTTCCTGACCAGGGCTGCGTGGCTCAGGGAGACCCAAGAGGCTGCCCCGGGCCTCTCTGACCACATCTTCCGTCCTGCCCTGTTTTCTCTCCTCCAGCTCACACTGGCTTCCTTGCTCTCCTGTGATACACCAGGAAATCTGCCCTTGAGACTCCCCATGCCTGCAGAGGCCTGGCCAGACACCGCATGGTGCACCCTTCACCCCAAATCAGCTGTTCCGGGAGGCCATCCCGACCGTGCTGACAAAAATGTAAAACCACATTGCTACCTCAGACCGTCTCTTCTTTGCTGCTCTTTCTTCACTGTACTTACTCTTACTGAAAATACTTTGTGCTGTATTAATTTGTCATCTCTTCTCTGATATAAGCCCGAATACGTATATTCCTGCCATCACCTGCGTTTGTCTGTTTTATTCTCACACCTAGAACTGCGCCAAGTGCTCAGAAGCTCCAAGAATGTGTTACTGGAGAAACAAGTACAGCTTGGTGCCTCCTGGCAGTGCTTTCACAGTCACAGTACTTGACTGGAGTTGGGAAATTCTAAAATATATTTAAACTCAAAGCCAAAGAGCACCCGTACTCCCCGACAGAGCAGGGTGCTGTGATGTCACTTCCTACATCTGCACTGCGGAACCCCACCGAGGCTCATCAGCGTTTCCTACCCCAGCTCTCTGTCTCGCTGGGGTGCTGCTCCGGTATCACTTCTAAGTGGAGGAAATCTGTTTCCAGAAGTGTGCGAGGCCTGAAGTAAAACGACCTCTAAAAACTCAGCAGTGAGGAAAACGAAGCTCACAACACGAAGGCAGCGGAAGGGACACTGCAGCAGGAGCTGTCAGAGCCCTCTGTACCTGCATGGCTCACAGCGGCCCGGGAGCGGGCTAGTCTCCTACCCCGAAGACCGGGGCTGTGATCGCACGGTGTGGCTTGGCAGACGAAACTTCAGCTCTGCGGGACGGAGCTGGCGCCAGATCCCACGTTCTCATGCAGCAGGCGCCCTCCAGCTTTCTGGCTTGGGCCCCCTTGTACCCCAAACATGAGGACAGCCCCGAAGGGCTGGTGTGGATGGTGCCTCTCAGTATTTACAGCATTCAGAATTAGAACCGTTTAAAATATTTCTTTATGAAATTCTTTTAAAATAACTTACAAACTTACTATATGTTAACATAAATAACTTTTTTGGAAGAGAAATAACTATATTTTCCACAATAAAAAACATTGGGCCAGGGATTTAGCTCAGTGGTTCTGCCGCCTGCCTCACAATAAAAAACATGGAAAAAGAGAGGCTCTCTCCATGTAATATCCAGCTCAACAGAAAAGAGCTCGATTACCCGTATGCTGCTGGCTTCCATTGTTTGGGTTGAGGTAGATGAAGAAAACATGGTTACGCCGGGTACGTGATTGGGAAACAGGAATAGTTCGGTGACTATTTAAAATCATTGTAACTGTGCTTCCTTTGTAGTACACAAAAGTTGACCCATGCTATTTTCATGAAGGTTAGCGGCGGTGCGGAATCTGAAACCACAACTGTAAACTTTCCTTCCTCTTCAGTAAAACCTGTGGATCCAGTTTGTATTTCACCAGTTCTCTCACCCATGCATGACAATGTAAGGGTCATGCAATGGACATTAGGGAGATATTGGTTCAAGGATTTTTGTAGCTCTCCTTCTGTTTTTTTTAAAGGTCTGTTAATGCCACCATTTTTACTCTAAAAAGGCCTTGAGAGGTAGAAGGCTGACATCACATTTTCCAAAATTTTAATTTTTGCTTGAAAGCTTCAATTGTACCGCTGGCAACAATTACCTCTGGACAAAGGCTTTTGTGATCACTGACAGAACATCAATTTCTAGATATTGGCTCCCCCTTGTAGATATGTTTTTATTTTCTGGAACTTTATTTGTGTGTGTTTATAAGAAATCCTCATGTACGAAATGCCTTGGGGAAACGCTACTTCAATGCAGATCAGCATCACTAATAAAAATGAAATATTTCGCTGAGGCGGGGCCAGCTTTACCACCACTGCTCCTGAGTGAGAGCGGCCAGCGTCAAGGTGAACAGTGTGGGTGCGGTCGGAGACCGCCTGCCTGCCGAGGGCCCCGGACGGCCCCTCAGGAGCCCTGCGCTGGCAGGGACACCTCCGTGCTGGCCTACGCCCCACAGAGGTCCTCCTGCCCCTCCAAGGTCCTCCCCATAAAATGAAGACGTCCATATTAAGCTGTGATCCAGCAAAAACTGCCGACAATTTGGAGCAAGGTCGTGTCAGGTTCTTGGCAAAGTACTGGGCACCCAGAACGCTCCTGGGGAAATGACCGGCGAGACCGGTGTCCAAGAAGCAGTGAGCCGCTGGGAAGCGAGGGCCCAGGGTCGTCTTCCGCTTCCCGCACTCAGCCTTCCCACTGCACCCACTGCAGGGGCAGAGCCGATCTCAGCACAGCAGCTGGCACAGCAGGGAGCAGAGCCAGTGCTCACTGACTCAGGGCCTCCCTGGCGAGTCTTGGGTAAGGATGGGAGCACTTCAGGGAAGCTAAGAATGTGTCTGACCTGCGTTTGGTTACGAACTGGCTGCGCACCAGTGCTGTGGCACAGAACAAGTCTTCTGAGCCTCAGTGACTCCTGACTTGATGACAACCCTAGGAGGAGGTTGCTGTGAGATTTAAATGAGATAATACGAAGAAACATGCCCGGTAAATTACCAGCCCCAAATAAGTAGTCAAAGTATGGCTGACTGCGGCTGTTTTTATTTTCATTCCTCGGCTCAGTATCAGGTCCTCAGGGAAGTCTTTTCTGACCACCTGATGAGGACACCCCATTTCAAGGTCTCATAGCTCCTCCTGTCTCCTTTACTAGCCTCACTGCAGCTGCAGTATTCTGCCTGGGTTCATAACCATTTAATTACAGTTTACCGGACACACCACCCCTGAACTCAGTAGGAACAGGCTCAGGGTCTCTTTTGCTCACTACTTCAGCCCTAACGCCCAGCACAAAATAGGTTTCAACAAATACTTGCTGACAGAATGAAGAGCGAATGTACTAGCTTTTGCTCTGTTGCATAATTTATCTGATCTTCCTCTAGTGCTATGATTCCCAGTGAGGTCTGTGGGCTGGTAACAGCAGCCCATCCCGGGAACCTGTTGGAAATGCAGGCTTCAGGGTCTACTCCAGAGCTGCAGAGGGAAAATCTGTGCTTTAGCAAAGTTCCCAGGCAATGCACATGTTCAGTAAAGTTTTAGAGGGCTGAGCCCTGGCCATTCCTCATTAAT